CTGGGTCCTTATTGCCTGGCAATAAACCTCACCTTCTTATTCTCCAGTTGCTGTCTCTGGCTGATCCTTATTTTAACTCACCACGGGTACTCCCTTTGCTACACTATGATGCTAAAAGATGCAAGATCTACAAAGATGGAGAACTGTTTCTTACTGCCAGAGAGAAAGATGGACTGTATTTGTTGACTTTTGATCAAAGTGATTACATGAAATGTAATACTTCTGATTCTAACGCAATTTCTCTTGCAGGTGTGACCAACACGAACACCAGGAAGGTGGCTAACAAGGTCGACAGAGCATTTCAGCGGGTGTATGCTGATGTGATTGGTCCTCTAGAACAGTGTTTCCCAACCGGTGTTTCGCGGCACACCAGTGTGCCGTGAGACCTTGCCTGGTGTGCCGTGGGAGGGAGGCGGGAGAGGCGGGGCGGCGCGGCGCCCGAGATCGCTTCTCCCCACCGCCCCTTGCTTCAAAAGAGGTCCGGGGACAGCGGGAAGCACTTCGCGCTGCCCCCGGACCTCTTTTGAAGCAAGGGGCTGCGGGGAGATCGCTTCTCCCGGTGCTCCGAAGCGGGGCGGGGGGCGGGAACCTGCAGCGCGGAGCGCGGGGCGCCCTTTGGAGGACGCCCCGTGCTTCGCGCAGCTGTCCGCAAGCCTTGGGCGCCTGGGGGAACTCCCCCCCGGCGCGCAAGGCTTGCGGGCGGCAGCCTGCAGCGCGGAGCGCGGGGCGCCCTTTGGAGGACGCCCCGTGCTTCGCGCAGCTGTCCGCAAGCCTTGGGCGCCTGGGGGAACTCCCCCCCCCGGCGCGCAAGGCTTGCGGGCGGCAGCCTGCAGCGTGGAGCGCGGGGCGCCCTTTGGAGGACGCCCCGTGCTTCGCGCAGCTGTCCGCAAGCCTTGGGCGCCTGGGGGAACTCCCCCCCCGGCGCGCAAGGCTTGCGGGCGGCAGCCTGCAGCGCGGAGCGCGGGGCGCCCTTTGGAGGACGCCCCGTGCTTCGCGCAGCTGTCCGCAAGCCTTGGGCGCCTGGGGGAACTCCCCCCCGGCGTGCAAGGCTTGCGGGCGGCAGCCTGCAGCGCGGAGCGCGGGGCGTCCTTCGGAGGACGCCCCGTTCTTCGCGCAGCTGTCCGCAAGCCTTGCGCGCCCAGGGGAACTCCCCCCCGCGTGCACGGCTTGCGGGCGGCAGCCAGCAGCGCGGAGCACGGGGCGCCCTCCGTAGGAGGCTGCGGAGGGTGGCGCGGAGCTGCCCGTGCTCCAGGGCTTCTTGCAGCTCCGCGCCACCCCCGGATCCCGGTGCGAAGCCGCGCGGGGCTGCGGAGGGTGGCACGGAGCTGCCTGCGCTCCAGGGCTTCTTGCAGCTCCGCGCCACCCCCCCCATCCCGGCGCGAAGCCGCGCGGGGCTGCGGAGGGTGGTGCGAAGCTGCCTGCGCTCCAGGGCTTCTTGCAGCTCCGCGCCACCCCCCGGATCCCAGCGCGAAGCCGCACGGGGCTCTGGAGGGTAGTGCAGAGCTGCCTGCATCCCGAAGCCTGGTGCGCGCTGAAGAGCGCCCCCGGGCTTCACGCACCTCTCCGCAAGCCTGGGGAGACCAGTGTGGCTCCCTAGGCTTGCGGATATCAGGCTGTTCTGGGGGCTGGGGTCGGGGGAAGCTTGGGTTTCCCCCGCGCCTGCCCCGTGCCTGGGGAGGGGAAAATTTTTTTTTCTTTATTCTCCCCCCAAAAAATTAGGTGCGTCTTATGGGGCGGTGCGTCCTATGGGGCGAAAAATATGGTAGTCAATATAGGCACAGAGTTAATTTTTTTAACATTTTCTAATGGTGGTGTGCCTCGAGATTTTTTTCATGAAACAAGTGTGCCTTTGCCCAAAAAAGGTTGGGAAACACTGCTCTAGAACCATCTAGGGGCGGTGCAAAATATTACCTTGTGTGTGTGGATTGTTTCACTAATTATTCTTGGGTTTATTTAATGGAGAAACCGCAAGAAACTTTAGAAAAGTTTCAGGAGTTTTGTGACAAGGTAAAAAATATGCATGATGCTAACATTGATTGTCTTTTCACAGATGACAAGAAAGTTTTTCTGTTACAGAAGTTTCAGAAGTTCCTGGATGGAAAAGGGATAGACCACAAAGTTTCTGTTTCGCCAGAAGCGTGGAACAGAGGGGTCTGTGTAAAAGTGAACAAAGAATTGCAAAAGGGGATGCATGCGCAATTGCTGAGTTCACATTTGCCACATGAATATTGGGCCGAGTCGCTAGCGTCCTATCTTCACATGTGGTTGAGAAAGATCTCAACAGAGTTGGGATGTTCTCCTTTTGAGAAGCTGTTCAGAAGAAAACCTTCTGTTGCCTATTTTAAGGTTTTCGGGTCTCATGTGAGAACAGAAGCTCCAGGTGGAGTAAAGAATGCCAGAGGCATTTTTGTGGGTTATGAAAAGGGTCTCTACAGAGTAATTTTGTCTGAATCTGGTCAGGTGATTCTCACAAAGTTCCTAGAGAGTGCTCCAGAAAAAGAGCGGGTTGCAGAACAAACATTTCCCACAGAGAGCAATTCAGCTGATGATGATGATTTTTCTGATGTCACAGATTACAGTGGTACTGATGATGATGACAGTGATAGCTCAGAGAGTTCAGTTGTAACAGTCATTGAGAGAAAATCTCACACGATGGATAGACCTTCACAAATGAAGGAAGAACCACTGTTAGCCAATGCTACTGGTTCTCAACAGAGTCCAGAGGTTGAACCAGTGAGCACAGAGGATCAGCACCTCATACGCAGGTCTGAGAGAGTTACAAAGGGTGTACCACCAAAGAGGTACTCAAAAGAGTTTGCTAACATAGCTGTTGCATGTGTTGCTATTGTTAACAACTCAAAGCAGGTTAAAGCAGTGTCTAAGTCAGAGACAAAGACACAACAGAGAGTAGCAAGCCAAGGTAATGCAGAAGCACTCATTCCTTGGAAGCCAAACAACCAGAGAGGTACACTGGTGAAACCAGTGGTGGGGAGTTCCAAGGGTGGAACTGAAACAACAGGGGACTGTTATATGTATAACAACTGTTTGTTTTCTTCTCTGGATCATGTTTTGCCTATTGATGCTTTTGGGGGAGGATGTCAGGAAAAAGCACCAAGGCAAAAGCCAGCTCTAGATGGCTGGAATGCAAAACAGGATGTTGTGGTTTGCAGATGTACTGTTGGAGAAAAGGTGGAGCCTATTCTCTGTACTGAGCACCGGATGTTAGCTCAGAGTGTCATCTGACCTGTGCTGGAAGTGCAGGGGCGGAGTTGTGTGACTCTCCTAATGGAGACTGAAGGGTGCAGTCACATTTCTATGTACTGCTGGAGACAGGAATAAAAAGACATGTAAAAGGACTCCTGTCTGTCTCATTTCCCTCCCTGGGAGAATGCAGGGGAGGAGAGAAGAAGAGGAAAGCAGAGGGTGTGTTTTTCTCACGACTAATGAGAAGAATCGCCGGGTTTGTTTACCTAGCCTGCCGGCAGTCGCAGACGGATGGTAAACACAGTATCTCGCTCAATTGCCTCGGGGGAGGCCAGGTACCTCTGCCTGTGAGCCAAGATACTAACAGTTCCTGTGTTAGTCTTAAGCATATTAGAGGTATAAGGGCCCAATCGAATCCTCTGGGGGCGGTCTGACAAAAAGTCCAATATCCACCCACAAAGTGATAACGGAAGCCCCAGATCTTCCAGTTTAGACATCAGACGTTGTGGTAGAATGGTATTAAATGCCGAGCTGAAATCTAAAAAAAGCAGTCTGGCATAACCCCCCCCCCGCTGCTCCAAATGTGCAAGGACGGCATGGAGGGCAATCGCCACAGCGTCCTCTGTCGATCTTTTCATTTTATAAGCAAATTGGAATGTGTCCAGTCCCTCTGGTAGGCAGGCAATGACATAATTTTGTACCAGCTTTTCAAAGCACTTCATAATTATAGGTGTGAGTGCTTTTCAATTCAGATCTGCCTTCAGGTGTCTTCTAAAAGTTTTTTAGTTCTTTATCTCCTTGAGATCTGATGGGAAAGCGTTCCACAGGGTGGGTGCCACTACCGAGAAGGCCCTCTTGCTGGTTTTCTATAACTTCATTTTTCGCTGTGAGGGAACCGCCAGAAGACCCTCGGAAGTGGACCTCAGTGTCCAGGCTGAGTGATGGTGGTGAAGATGCTCGTTCAGGTATAGTGGGCCGAGACCGTTAAGGGCTTTAAAGGTCAGCACCAACACTTTGAATTATTGTGCTTGGAAACGGTGAAGATCCTTTAGGACCAGTGTTATATGGTTCTGGTGGCTACTCCCAGTCACCAGTCTAGCTGCGATAAGAACGGATGAAGCGGGGCTGTGTGTGAAGAGAGTTTGGGGCGGATGCTGGAAGCTGGGAGACAGAGGCTTGTCTTGCTCGCTGCTGGACTCAGAGCTGTGGCTTGGGGCCTTCCTAGAAATCCAACAGGGAGGCAAGACCTGCTGGAAAGTTAATGCTGTGAGCTCCTCCATCCTATGCTCAGATTGTATTTACAGTCATACCTTGTGTTGCGTTAGGTTCATGTTGCATCTTTTTGGCTTGTGAACACAGCAAACCCGGAAGCGTATACTTCCGGGTTTCACTGCGTGTGCGTGCGCAGAAACATCCTGCACGCTTTGCGCATGTGCAGAAACGTCCTGCACACTTCACACATGCACAGAAGTGCTCTATTGCGCTCCGCGCAGAAGCGCCACTCTAGTTGCAGACTTTTCAGAATGGATCGTGTCCGCAACTAGAGGTACCACTGTATGTGTAAATAAAACCACATACCCTAAAGACACTACAGTCTCTGTTGTCCTTCATTCCAAGGAAACTGAACCCAGGAGTTTCCTTTCGCTTGGATATTGGGGTACATGACACAGTATGTTCAAGGAGAGGGAAACATCTGGCCCACCAGATGTTACCTAACTGAATCTCCCACCATCCTTGGCAAATGCCACACTGGCTCAGGGCTGATGGGAGTTTAGAGGCGGAAAAAAAGGCGAGGAGCATTTTGAGTTTCGTGTTTTATTTTGGAAGCACCTTTGTTTTGGTTTGCATATTGTTAGCATATGCATTTTCCAGCACGGTCTCCATAATGTAGCACTGCAATTTTGGACACCAGGGAAGGAAAGAACAGTAATTCCTAGAGAATACACCTCATATATCACTGCGGTCCCTTCTGTCCAGTGCTGTGTGTATTCTTCCCTTTTGAAAGGAGAAACACCCCAAACCACACCTGCTTTTCCACCCGAGAGTGCCATGAATCTGTTAGCTGAATAGTAGAGTATGCAGATTAGCAAATTGTTATGCAATTTGCACAACTGATCCTGCTTCTGCCACCCATCAAGGGGAGGGACAAGGAATGACACACAGGACAGAAGCCCCACCCTAATACTGCCCCTCCTGCCCCTGAGTTTTCCACCAAGCATGGAGTCCTTGTTTTCCACCTTGCATCTGTCTAAAGGAGGCAGAAACTAAAGATAGCAGGGAAGCTAGAAGATGCAGGATCTGTCAGAAGCACCAAAATCTGCACAGGTAGAAAGCAGGCTGACACAATACTCACAGCCTTTCTTAGGACAGGCTTGGCTTTTAGGGGGGATGTGTGTGTGAGAGAGAAATTATCACTATTTTGCTGCAAGAATGTGAGTTCAGGTTTGGGAGAATATACAAAGGAATTTCATTGACTGGGCAGCTCCCGTAGTTTCTATCAGGCTCTCCTATATCTTAAAGTGGCGAATCCTCCCTGGGCATAATTGTAGCAAAAGTGCTGGGAGTGGCACAGCTTCCACCGCTCTCTTGACGACAGGCTTTGCTGCCGCGACGGCTGGAGCTTCGGCAGAGTGAGATTCATGGGATGCGTGCGTGTCGTTGTGCGAATGGATGAGGTCAAGGACCCTGCGGCCAGTTCCAGGGGAAGGGATGTTCTTCCCAAGATGATACATGAAATGCTCGATGAAATGGGAACCGCCGGCCTAGAAAAGAAAACCATTATGTCCAGTCTGCTGGTGCTAGTCAGAACACAGTCCAAATAAATGAATAAATAATATACAGACCATTCAGCTTGAAGCTCTGAGCAGGTGCAAATCTCATGAGGTGCAATGACTTTCCCCATCCACTCCCATAAACAAAGAGGGCATGGGAGATATTAGGGTTGCCACCTGCCCTGTAAAATACAGGACTGTCAATGTAAAATGCCAGGTCCTGTATTTCAGGTCTTCATCTCCCCCCCCCCTCTCTCTCTCTCTCTGTGTGTGTGTGTGTGTGTGTGCCAAGTTAGGGATTCTCTCCAAATGCAAGTGTTTGAAAGGTGTGGGAAAGGTCATGTAATTAAGCTCTGGGTAGCCAAGCACAGACAGATTTACAAATTTGTGTGTTTGTGTGTGTGTGACAAATTGTAGAGGGACCATTCTGCTAGGATGCGAAAGATTGTAATGAATTGCTTTGAAGTCACTTCAGCAGCAGATGGGGGTGGGGAGTCGTCCCCTAACCATTCTGCCCTCCCCTGCCCTGTATTTTGCCAGAGGAAAGGTGGCAATCCTAGGAGACATACCCAGAGATCTATACGGCTTGTGTTTCTCCCCAATGCACAGCCTCACGGCCCTACAGAAGGATGAGCAGGAGGCAGAAATCCTTCACCATTAACAGGAGGAACTTTGGTCACCAGCATGGTGAAATCGCCACTTCTGTTGAGCCATTAAAAGTCCTCTGTTGTGTCTGGGTTCCCGGCCAGCAAATTAGACCTCTTTCACAGAGGTAAATCTAGATGAACAACCTAATTTAAAAATGACGATGGTTCACTGAAATAAATAAACCAGCCGGTATTTGTGCTGATGAAAGGACCTCTTCCTATGTATGGCAGGTAATTCTGTTGCTTAAGGTGGCCCAGGCGGTCTTTTGGGGTGGGCCCTTGTATCTCCTCCCCCTTCCCCACCTTTTCAACTAATGCATCTTTCTTGGATTATAGGGCAGCTGAGCACAATGGTGCTAAATAACGACCCATCACCTACCTTAATTCATAGAATCATAAAATTTTAGAGTTGACAAGGGTCATCTAGTCCAACCCTTAGTAATGCAGGAATCTTTTGCCCAACATGGGTCTTGAACCCACAGCTCTGAGATTAAGAGTCTCATGCTCCACCAACCGAGCTACCAAGGCATGCACAGAGACATAGACAAGTGCATATGCAAGTTCCATGCAGATTTGTGCCACAGGCCAATGCCCTGAGTCTAAGTACCTAGCAATGCCATGAGTGCTAGGAAAGGGATGCAGCAGGACTGCAACAGGGACGTGAGTAGCAGCCTCTTTGGCTCTAGGGATAAAGAATCCCTTAATTGTTCTGCAGGGAAGCAGGGAAGTTGGCCTTGGGAGGAGCTGGGTCAGGGTGCTTCTCTGGAAAAGTGGGTGGGTGGAAAGGTAACGGGAGCCCATTGGGGAAGGCCAAATAATTAGAAACATTCAAAGTCTGGGTGCTACAGGATTTGGTGCAAGAGGAGAAGTGGTCGTGCTTCAAGTCCCAAGGGGCTTTGGTTTCCAAACTAGCTTTCGTGTACACCATCAGACCCTCCCCAGTGAACCTCAGAGCAAGCAACCGGTTGTGAATTCTCTCTGTGTGTGAATTGCTGAAAACCATGTGTAAAAATTGCACCTACCTGGTGATCATATAAAGCACAATCTAGGGTGATCTCCTCTGCAGGTGGAATGGGCTCACCACCAAGAACAGGAACAGGAGGCAACTGGATAACGGATGCCTTGCAAAACCCATTACGCTTGATAAGGAGGAAGAAAGAGAGAGCAGTTAAGACATCCCCACAGGGACATCCGAAAAGAAAATACTTCATCTCAGCCAGGCAGCATGGTGTAGAAAATTCCATTCATTCCCATCTTCCTCACATAAACCATCCAAAAAGTGTGGGAATCGATCGACTAGAGTGGCATCTGAAGATGTGAGTAAAACCGTTTTACTTATGTAGGTTTATATACTGCCTTTTTTCCATCATGGAAGTTAAGACGGTTTTCATGTTATTCCCAGTGAGGTCACCCACCCACCTGTAGACAAGTCCCAGACCTGTTGACCTTTACTCTAGGGACATAATAAAGTTCAGTGGGGTATGCAAGCGTAGTTGGTCTTGCATTCTACATCACTGATTGGGAGCAAGTAGGCACTGCAAATTAATAATTATGAACAGGTGTGAAGAATGCCTTCTTGACTTTGTAAATTAGAATATGTAAGTGATCTAATTAGAACAATGAAGAAACAAATGAGAAAATAAGCATCTCACACAGGGAATTTACAGGATACAAAACTGTTTTCGTGGATTTTTTAAAAAAATTTAATATCTCAGCATGAATGGAGGTCAAGAAATCAGTAGCTGTTGATAAGGGACTAAGATCAGGACCGAATGTAATTGGATTAACTAAGATTTTGGAAGCAGGAAGAAATAAGAACTTTGCACCCCGAAACCCAGCACATGGGAAGTCACTCAAAATGTATAATTGCCGTATAACTGATCTATATTTGGATGGGAATTGTAATTTGATATTGAAAAAAATGTGGCTGTTATTGGATTTTAATAATTGAAAATTAATAAAAATTATTTATAGATAGAATATGTAAGTGAACTGTGGGGATTGTGGTCCAACATTCTGAAAGACCACACAAGACTGACACCAGGTGATCAGGGATGACTCAAAACTGCCAGTATTCCGCAGGCAATTCCACTGTTAATTAGATTTGTGCAATTTAAAAGTAAATTGAAGTTCTTTGCTGCCAAGAAATAAAACATATTGTTTTGCAGTTATGGGGAAATGCATTGAAATCCTTGGGGTGAACAAATGATTCATGGCAAGGCATATAAATATCCTGTAAGCAAATAAATATCAGGATGAATGCACATGACCTCACCTTAAAAAACCACACAGAAGGAATGCTCAATAAAGTCTATCCTCCTTGGAAGCTCTGCGCAAGCGTATCAGGTTGAATGTGCAGTTAAAAAGGTCACCAGATTTATAGTTTCTGATCTGATCCTGGAATGTCCTGCATTTCCTTAGGACGTCCCTATTTTCATCGTAGAAATGTTGGAAGGTATGGAGTTATGCAATCCCTGAGCCAAGGAGATGAGTAACCTCAGGGCTGCCACACGTCCAGATTTTCCTGGACATTACTGGGATTTCAAAGGCAGAATTGATGTCCGGGGGGGATTTCTGAAAGGCGGCTCTTTGTCCTGGATCTTAGAGAAGTCAACCCAAGAACTGTGGTTTTTTGGCTCAAGAATTCTGGTGGTTTCCTTCAAAAAGCTCAACAACTTTGGGGTGTCCTGGTTTTTACTTTTTGAAATATGGCAACCCTAAGTAACTATACAACCTTTAGGAGACAGCTGAAACCAGTAACAGCATGCTGTTCTAACCAATGAAATGTACACAAAGCAGCCCAGTATGGGGAAGTGTCTTAATGTTTAATGTTTTAATATGTGTTTATACATGTTAGAAGTCACTCAGAGTGACTGGGGCAACCCAGTCAGATAGGTGGGGTATAAATAATAAAATTATCACTGTGGAATGGGACGTCCCTATTTTCATCGGAGAAATGTTGGAGGGTATGAAATCCTGAGGAACCCAAATCCTGAGGAACCCAATGAAAACTTCCAGGATCTGGTGATTTGAAGTCTGACAGAGCTAGCAACTCGCTTGTGAACGTGAGCCAGATTTAAATCACTTTCACTTGTGAAAAACAGGCATTTCTAGACCTGAAGTCTAGAAATCTTCGAGTTTATATATGTATATATAGAGAGAGGGACTTGTAGCCATGGAGGTCAGAAATGTGTGGACTTCATTTTTCAAATGCTTTCTTAAAGGCACAGGGGCCCCGCAATGCAGAAGGGCTGGCAGGCCTCATTTGACCGCAGGCATTACCTGTCCTGGAATCTGCAGTAAATTAATTGGGATCCCATCCACTTACCGCATGCTCATCTGTTGCCACGTGGCAGTGTTCTGCAGGGTCTTGGGCTTGTTGCCTTGTGCAGTTAGTGGCAGCAATTGCAAACTCCACATGTGTACCTAGAGGCATATGCTGGGAACGTAATAAGGAACATTTTAGCTGTCTCTCTCAAATGCCGCAACTGAGCAGAAAGAGTCATACGGAATATTAATGATATAAATGGACATTTGCAACGCTGGGGCACTTTTGTTCAGTTTCCACTCCCTCCCACCAACCCAGCCTATGAAGCTGCCTTCTAGCAACTCAGACCAGTCCTTCTTTCCAATGGAGGTTAGGCTCAGGGCAGCTGTGGGGAACCAGCGTTCTTAGTGGAGCTGGTAGCAAATCCCTTCACACACTGCCTGCCGCTTTGTTCAGGACTCAGTTCAAAGCGCTGGACTGGACTTTTAATCCTCGAGCACCTTGGGACCAGGGTATCTCAGGAACCACTTCTCTCCAGATGTTCCCTTCTCCAGGTCCCTTCACGGTTGGAGGTAAAGTGAGTGGGCACTGGAAGCAGGGCCTTCTCTGCCATGGCCCCCCCACATTTGGACCATCTTTCCAAGAAAGATATGCCTTAACCCTTCACTGCTCACTATTTGCGGCCACCAAAAATGCTCTTAGTCCAACACTCTTGTTTGGACTATTTGTTTTAGAGGATAAGCTTGCCGTTACTACTTTTTAATTAATTGGTGTTGCTTGGTTTTGTTTTTGATCTGTTGTGCCCAAATTCCCTCTGCCCTTGCCTGATCAACTGAAACTTGCTGATGGTCTTCATAATTTGTCTGCCCGTCGTGGTGATTGACATGCACTAGGCTAAACGCAATGCAATTCAGAAGAAGGAGTAATAAAAATGAAATTAAAAATGGATTTGAATATTGAATGCAACGGATATTTTGTCTCCCTCCTCCAACTACAGACGGCGTGGACCGCCAGAATGAAACCTGCACACCAGAATGGACCATTTGGGAGCCGGGAATTGTGTTGCAAAAATCTGAAAGAGCAAAAGTAGAAGGGATAACTGCATTTAGATCTTCCAGTAGCACCTTAAAGACCAACTAAGTTAGTTCTTGGTATGAGCTTTCGTGTGCATGCACACTTCTTCAGATACCAGTGTGCATGCACACGAAAGCTCATACCAAGAACTAACTTAGTTGGTCTTTAAGGTGCTACTGGAAGGAATTTTTGTTTTGTTTTGACTATGGCAGACCAACACGGCTACCTATCTGTAACTGCATTTAGATCTGTGCATCAGTACTAGAAGTGCAGATCAGCTTGCCTCGCTTAAACATGTGGACTGGACAATGTCTTCAAACATCCCTGCTCTCTACTCTCTCTGTAATAAGGCAGCACTGCTAGTGGCCCTGTCTGAATACTTACGGAGGTAAACCCTCTTGAAAGCTCAATGAGCTGGTAGTGGCTTCCATTGACATTTTCAGCATTGAACTTGGCGAGCCCAGAATTAGCTGCCTCCTTCAACTTAGGGTCATCCAGTTGTGACAAAGGGTTACAATCAGGGCAAACATTGATAATATCTTCAACTGAACCTAAGGAAGAAAAAGAGAAAAGTACAGGGTGTTTTTATTTATTTATTTAAGTGAGTAATGTTTTGTTGCTGGCTGCTCCAAAAGGTTTAGGATAGCTGATCAGTTGCTGACATAGGCTGTTGCAGCCATTTGGTGTTGGCAGAAACTTAAGAAATGAACATTTAAGGAATTTATTATATTTTTATTTTGTTCTTCCTCCAAGAACTCACGATGGCCCTGCAAATACCGAGGTCCACCTCCAAAGGCCTTCTGGCAGTTCCCTCACTGCGAGAAGTGAAGTTACAGGGAACCAGGCAGAGGGCCTTCTTGGTAGTGGAGCACCTTCTCATCAGAGGTCAAAGAGATAAATGACTACACAATTTTTCATAGACATCTGTACCAGGAAGTTTTCACTGTGTTTTTATATTATGTTGGAAGCCACCCAACGTGGCGGGAGCAACCCAGTCAGATGGGCAGGGTACAAATAATATGTTGTTGTTGTGTGTATTTTATGCAAAATTGCACAGAAAATGTGGCGTGTCAGAAGGAAATGCTGGGCAATTTTCCTGAGGGTTAAAAAAAGAAAAGAAAAACCAATTGGCAAACTCATTTGGAAATGTGGAGAAGTGAACTCAAGACTGGGAGAACGAGACACTGAGAGGAAACAGAAAAAGACCTACCAACCCATTATAAGAACTGTGTGGTCCCTTCATGTTTATATCAAGAACAGGGAGCCTGTGGCTCCTCTCCAGATGTTGATATCTGGCTATTGTCCAGGCTGGCAGGGGGTGATGGGATCTGGAATCCAACAGTATCTGGAGAGCCACAAGTTCTCCATCCCTCGTTCATGTGCATGATTTTGCCGGGACGTGCCTTCCAGACAAAGATACAGCACACAGGTGGACTGAGGGCCACAGGACACACCTGACGGATGTACGTTGTTTTTTTTAAGAGCGCCAGGTGTGGCGACATCCAGTCAGGATCAAGTCCACATCTCACAGAGCAAGGGTTTAATCTTGTGCTACACAGTCTGTAGGGGAGGGGAGCCCCAGATGTCTCAGGGACAAACAGCACCTGCGAAAGAGTGGTGCTCACTAGGGCTGAGAAAGGGTTAACACCGCCCCCCACATTGTGCTACTGGTTCTCATTGCCCCACCTGCAGCTGCGCTCTCTCTCTCTCTCTCTCTCTCTCTCTCTCTCTCTAACTTAGATTGAGGTGGAGAACCTTCTTCAAGCTAGCGGTGCCTTCTGGGAACCCTTCAATGAGGCCACATGGAAGTCATTTGAGAGGCAGGGCATATCCCTGGGCCAGGCAGAACGACTCAAGGGATGTGCCAAACCGGGCTGGGGAGAGGTGTGCCCTGGGGAGAGTCATGGTAAATGGAGTGAGTTGGAGCGTGGGTCACTGACCCCCTATTTCTCAGCCCTGGTGACCGAGGACTGCAAAGCAGCCAAAGAGATTACCTGGAGTAGAGTGGCATTTGCTAGACAGCACTTTGTAGGCTCCATCCAAAATGAGGAGTTTGACGTCGCAGTCCCCTTCAACAGCCTAGCGGTTCAAAGGAAGAGGATTATGGGCTGGTTATGATGGGAGCAAAACCCAGTTCCGCAGCATTGTACAGCCTTGTACATACACTGTACACCTTGTACATCGGCCTACGCTGACCTGTTTGGCAATGTTTTGGACCTCAACGTCCGTTTGCTGTGTTGACAAGGACTGTCGGAAGCTCTGGTCCAAAATATCTGGGGAATGCCTCGTGGGCCAAGGCTGGTACACCATGCTATGCGTCTCCCAGACGGTGAACCCAAAAGGGACCAAAACCCAGCCTAGCAAGCAGTCACTGCCCTGGTCACCTGTGGTGGGTAAGAAATGCCTCGAGGTAAGCAAACTGGAATAATGCTCCCCATACCTTCAGGCTATCCTGGTGCTCCGGTGACTAATATAGCCAGTTTATTGTGCACAGAAATACACAATTAACCATTTATATTGGATGACAATTGCCAACAGATTTTTTGGATCCTTGTGAAGGCCGTTGGACTAAGTGGACCTTGACCTGAACCCTCTAGCCATGCCTTACGAACAGGTGTCTTTAAAAAGAGCATGGTGGACTTGGGTAGACTGCATTACAAGACTTCACCATGATCATTTTTCTGTTTGCTTCTCTAGCCACATTGATGATATTAGTCAACACATTTTTTTTTTTAAATCCATCTGTTGAACTTGCATGACAAGTCCTTCAGGCTGGTAGGCTCACACTAAATAAAATTGTAATAAGCTACCAGAATTGCCAATGCAGTTGACAATTATAAACAAAGGAGCCACAGAACAACTTCCACGAATAGTCAAAGTGGGAAAAGATGTTGTTCTAGAAATAATGAGATAGATTTGAATTACTTAGTTTCTGTCTCATACTTTGACCAGTTGAAATAGAACTTGGACGACGTACCATATACTGTAATTCAAAGGAGTCCAGATTTTAAATCTGAGACCACAGATTCAAACACTAAAGCTTTTATGTGTGGCAAATATTTAGGTTTTGGGAGGTTGTATTTTTATTATTATTATTATTTTAGGATGTGTTTGTGATCCCGAACACAATCAACTTTCACTGTCAATTCAAATTTTGGCAGAATAGGTTATGCAGAGTCAGTCTATCTATCTCACTACAGTGGTGCCCCGCAAGACGAATGCCTCGCAAGACGGAAAACTCGCTAGACGAAAGAGTTTTCCGTTTTGGAGGTGCTTCGCAAAACGAATTTCCTATGGGCTTGCTTCGCAAGACGACAATGTCTTGCGAGTTCCTGCTGGTTTTTTTCCCTCCCCCCCTTTTTCTAAGCCGCTAAGCCGCTTATCAGCTGATCGGATCAGCAGATAAGCCGCTAAAAGCGCTAATAGCGCTAATCCGCTAATCCTTCAATGGGCTTGCTTCGCAAGACGAAAAAACCGCTAGACAAAGAGAATCACAGAATGGATTCTTTTCGTCTTGCGAGGCACCACTGTACTGTGTACAAGGGCAGGCAGTGGCTCTCCAGGGTTTCAGGCAAGGAGATGATGGAAAATTAGGAGGTCTGGCATAGCTCACCTGGTATAGCATGAGACTCATAATCTCTGGGTCATAGGTTCAAGCCCCACATTGGGCAAAATATTCCTGCACTGCAGGGGGTTGGATTAGATGACCCTTCCAACTTTACAGTTCTGTGACTCCATGAACCTAGAACCCTCAGCATGCAAAACAGCTGCTCCATCCAGGGGTGTATGAAGTGGGGGGCAGAGGGGGTGATCTGCCCTGGGTGCCACTCTGGGGGGGTTGTGTGTGATAAGATGGCCTCTGCCTCCCTCCAGAGGGCACACCCAGTCAATATGGGTGCTGCCACTCTCGCACGCTGTCCATATGGGCGTCTGTACGGGCTGCCGTGCGTGCGCACTCCGTACGGGATGCCGCACATGCACAGTCCGTATGGGATGCCGCTTGTGCGGCAGTCTGTACGGACACCCGTATGGATGGTGTGTGTGAGCGGCAGCCCATAAGGACGCCGCGTGAGCTGCTGCGCTTGCGCACTCCGTACAGGATGCCACACATGCGCAGTCCATATGGACGCCGTGCGTGCGCCACCAGGCAGTTCGCCCCGCCCATCGGTGTCCCGCCCCGGGTGCCGGAGAGGGTTCCTCCACCACTGGCTCCATCACTGAGTCGAAGACCTTGAATGTTGGACATCATCACCCGTTGAGGTTTGGGAAAGGTTAGGGTACCTGAATTCCACTGGAATGTATCAGACTAATCTTTAGCGGCTGGTCGTCCATTAAACTGTAACTCGGTTGTTCTTGTGGACAACCTAGTACCTGCTGAAATCCTTGCAATGTGTAGTTGAGTAAGTGGAACTTGATTTGATCCATAAAGGCACTTCCCACGCTCTCAATCAAGAGACTTGGTTGATGTTATATAGCTCAGGCAAGTTATGCCTTAAAATGTTAAGGGATCCTGAGTATGAACGCTTGCTGTGTAAATTAAACTTTTGTTGGGTGCAACTTTGAAAAGTAAAATCAGCACCGTCCTGGTGAGCGGGACAGTTGAGTTCCAAGCAGTCAGCCTGTATTGACATGCCTTTATTATTATTGCTATTAATTTGAATAAAGATATGATGCATGCACCCAAGAATCCATGTTTAAATTCTCCACAAGGTTAGCAAAAGGTCCAGGAACTCACATGCTGTGTCTGTGGCCTTATGGTACAATTTTCAGCAGGCAGTGGGTTCGACACATGGCACTCAGTCTCCAATAAGTCCAACTCAAGAAAGGCTATCTTCCCAAATGGCCTCTGTGGAGGAGGAAATGAGAGAAGGTGATTAGATTAAAAAAACTAAAAAAAACTTGTTTACATTTATTTAACCAGCACACAGCTAAAAGGCCCACTGGGAACCAGGCAGAGGGCCTTCTCGGTAGTGGCGCCCACCCTGTGGAACACCCTCCCTTCAGATGTGAAGGAAATAAGCAGCTATCCTATCTTTAAAAGACATCTGAAGGCAGCCCTGTTCAGGGCAGTTTTTAATATTTAATGCTGTATTGAACACTTGATTGGGAGCCGCCCAGAGTGGCTGGGGAAACTCAGCCAGATGGGCAGGGTATAAATAATAAATTATTAGACAGGAGTGCCTGTTGTGCTCTAGTCCATGGGGTCACGAAGAGTCAGACACGACTAAATGACTAAACAACGACAACAACAACTATTATTATTATTATTATTATTATTATTAATCCATAGAGTGCTTCACAGTGTCAGTTCCCCTCTTAACAGATGTGCCAAAACAGAAATTTCTTCAAAATGGTATGTCATTGCCTTTGGTACTTCCTTCCAGCTCCCTTAAAGAGAAGAGGACAGGATGAAGGGGAAAGAAGAAGAAGAAGAAGAAGAGTTTGGATTTGATATCCCGCCTTTCACTCCCTTTAAGGAGTCTCAAAGCGGCTAACATTCTCCTTTCCCTTCCTCTCCCACAACAAACACTCTGTGAGGTGAGTGGGGCTGAGAGACTTCAGAGAAGTGTGACTGGCCCAAGGTCACCCAGCAGCTGCATGTGGAGGAGCGGAGACACGAACCCGGTTCCCCAGATTACGAGACTACCGCTCTTAACCACTACACCACACTGGCTCTCAAAGGGAAATCTATCCATGTTTCCTGGTCTGAGAGCTTCTGTAGAGACTTGCTCTGAACTCCTGGCATTATGAAGCTTTCTTGGAAGCCTGGCTTGCTTCTTTCCTGTTCTTGAAGCTTATGTTTAATTTATTTATTTATTGCATCTTATGCCACCTTGAGCACATTCCAAAGTGCTCAAGATGGCATATGTGGTTAACCCCCTCATTTAATCCCCACAAGAACTGTGCAAGGTAGGTTTGACTGAGAGGCACTGACTGGCTCAAGGTCACCCAGTGAGATTCATGGCTGAGTGGGGAGTTTGTTTGCAACAAACAAACAAACAAACAAACAAACAAACAAACAAACGGATGTTCCTGGAGAGTGGTGCAGACTTTGAGCGGTGTTCAGCTAAGTACAACTAATTATATCGAGGGCTTTTTTTTCAGCCGGAACTCAGTTCCAACACCTCTCAGGTGGACACCATTGCCATTATAAGAAAACAAGGCGGGTATTCGTGGTGTGTTCCGGCACCTCTTGAAACGAGTGTGCATGAGTAAATTAGGGCAATTAATTTCAGTGGGTCTCCTCTGCATAACTGCCACCCCTTCATTCCCACAACACTTTCGGTGAGCCATTCAGGACACGCACAACTTCAGAATTGGGTAGATGTGCATCTTCCAAATGCAATAGGGACACTCACTGGACAATAAGACATTTGGATGCCTTTAAACAACTGAGTAAGACGTGCCCAGGTGCAATCCACACCAAAGCTTCCATTGTCCGTGTGGGTACACTGAACCCCAATAGCTTCTCATTGGAAGGTTGGTAGTGAAATAAACCAACATCGAATAAACGATTCAAAGTGTTGGTGCTGACTTTTGAAGCTCTAAACGGCCTCAGCCCAGTATACTTGAAGGAGCGTCCCCACCCACATCATTCAGCCTGGACACAGGTCCAGCGCCGAAGGCCTTCTGGCGCTTCCCTCACTGCAAGAAGTGAGGTTACAGGGAACCAGGCAGAAGGACTTCTCGGTGGTGGCCCCCGCCCTGTGGAATGCCCTCCCTTCAGATGTCAAGGAGATGAGTAACTATATAACTATTAAAAGACATCTGAAGGCAGCCCGGTATAGGGAAGCTTTTTAATGTGTAATGTTCTATTATGTTTTTATATCTCTTGGAAGCCACCCACAGACCCTCCCAGTGTCCAGGGACAGACCCGGATTTACAGAAGCCATCCCATTTTCTGATTTGATCCCTAAATGTCTCGCTTTTCCTTAGGACATCCCTTTTTTTCATCGGAGAAAAGTTGGAGGGTATGGAGTTATGCGACCCCCCGAGCCAAGGAGATAAGTAACTATACAACCTTTAGTAGACATCTGAAGGCAGCCCTGTACAGTGGTAGCCTGGGTTAAGAACTTAATTCATTCTGGAGGTCCATTCTTAACCTGAAACTGTTCTTAACCTGAAGCATCACTTTAGCTAATAGGGCCTCCTCCTGCTGCCGCGTGATTTCTGTTCTTATCCTGAGGTCTTAACCCGAGGTACTATTTCTGGGTTAGCAGAATCTGTAACCTGAAGCGTCTGTAACCTGAGGTACCACTGTATAGCGAAGTTTTTAATGTTTAATGTTTTATTATGTTTTTATATGTTGGAAGCTGCCCGGTGTGGCTGGGGCAACCCAGTCAAGTGAGTGGGGTACAAATAATAAGATTATGATGATGATGAAACCTCATAATGAAGGTTTTGTTCTGAAGCAGGGCATTGGACGGGTGCCACACAGTTGAAGATCTCACATAGCCTTCACTCACCCCTCATATGATCTGGAGAATGACCTTCCTCCCCACCCGCCAGGAAGCACTTACCCGAGGGAGAACCTTGACCTTCTCGATCCTGTTTAGGGCGTACTTGTACCCGTGGTTATTTTTTGAGTTGATGTGCTTCACTGCGAAGTCTGCCATGTGCTCCGTCTCAACGTCATCGCAAGCAGGAAACTCTCCCTGAGGGAGGGTAGGGAGTACAGCTGCCTTTGCTATGCATCCCAGGATCAGACCCAGGAGCGCTGGAGCTACCAGTGATCTCATGGCTTCGCCTGCAGAGGATCTAAGGAGGAGGGTTGTGCTGGAAGGAAGGGTGGAAGGAGCCACAGCAGAGCTCCCATTTATAGAAAGATGAAGCACCCGCCTCCCATCCTCGGCCCATGAGGAGGCCTGCAATATTTGTTCTGGGTCCAAAAAAGCGACTGCAAACAACAGAAAGGGAAAAGTAAATATGTGCAGGACATTGAGTTAAAGGTTTATTAGATAAGGGGGAAATTGCAAAGTTTGCTAGAAAGAAGATGGCATGGGCAAAAAATCTCAAAGCGTCATTTTGGTCCCATTTGCCAGACACTAAAAGGGCATTATGGGGAATTAGGCTGTAGCTCACTGGCCGGGGGGGGGGCAGTGTCCAATGTGTCCTGCCAGGCCATTTCCCCAAACCACACCCACCTGCCCATCAGGTGACATCACTGGTGACATCATCTGATGGGCAGAAGGGTTTGATCCTGCCTTGACTGCACTGGTCTGTTGCCAGCAGGAAACGGGTTCACGCAGCCAAGGTGTAACTTTATTATTGTTGTTGTCACAAAATGTCTCTCTTAAAACCATTGAGTAATCTGTCCTGCTAGGCTTAGTTCACCTTGGGAGGGACTTGGTATTCAAGCCGTTGTCCCCCCTCAGTCTACCTGAGAAACTCAGCACGCGAAGAGCCTAAGCTGGTTGCCGCAGCTCAGCCACACGGCTCTCCGAAGCTGTTCTTGAGTTCCTATAATTTAGGAACTTTCCCCACTGTAGCTAAGCCAAGTTTTACTGCCTCTGCATCTTTTTCTGAATGCTGTAAGGAAAAGCACATGAATCTGACCTTTGGAGAGTTTGTAAGCAAATCATTTTTAACTTACCAAATGTGTTGTCCTTTTCGATGCTAGGGGAAGAGGGAAAATTTGGAACTCACAAGGGCGTATTTTAAAGGTCTAACAGCCTACATTTCCATGTTTTACTTTGCTGCTTTTTAGTGGTTTTAGATTTCTGCTGGAATTCTCTCACCAAACAGTACTTGCCCAAACCCTGGGCATCTAGGGAAATCTCATTTTACACCCATTTGAAAATATTTGAGCCAACAATTATAATATCATTATTCATACCTCACATTTTCCCTGACAGGGACTCAAGGCAGCTTACAGATAAAGATAATAATAGTTAAAAACATGGGGGGGGGGGAACCAATAATAAAAAAATAAGCATTGATAGATTTTTCTTTATTAAAACAATACAAATACAGTGGTACCTCGCAAGACGAATACCTCGCAAGACAAAAAACTCGCAAGACGAAAGGGTTTTTGGTTTTTTGAGCTGCTTCGCAAGACGATTTTCCCTATGGGCTTGCTTCGCAAGACGGAAACGTCTTGCAAGTTTGTTTCCTTTTTCTTAACACCGTTAATACAGTTGCGACTTGACTTCGAGGAGCAACTCATAGAACGTGGTGTGGTAGCCTTTTTTGAGGTTTTTAAAGACTTTGGTGATTTTTGAAGCTTTTCCAAAACTTTCCCGACACCGTGCTTCGCAAGACGAAAAAAATCGCAAGATGACAAAACTCACGGAACGAATTAATTTCATCTTGCAAGGCATCACTGTACGAAGACTGCAGCACCATCCCTTTCAGAAAAAGCAGCCAGTTCCCCAAAAGCCTGTTAAAAGAGAAACAGGGAAGGCCACCAGACCATTTGGCTTTAAAAGAGGATTAGGTGAATTCATAGAGGGGAGGACTATCAATGGCTACTAGCTCGGAAGGCAATGCTCCTGAAAGGAAGGCAGCAAAGCTCCTGAAAACCTGCTGCCAGAAACCACAGGAAGCAAGAGTTGCCCTTGTGCTACAATCCTGCTTGTTGGTTTCCCACTGGCATCTGGTTGGCCACTGTGATACGATACGATAATCTTTATTGTCATTGTTCCATACAGAACAATGAAATTGAAAAAATCTACATCAGACATAACAAAAAACCCACAAGCCTACTATCCCAGCTATCCCAGCCTGGTTAACCCCCTAAAAACTCTGATACCCCATAATTGAATACAATATACTCACATAAAGACTACCTTAAACTGCGTTTAAAACCAAAATTGCATTTGGATAGAAGCTGTTTCTCAGGCAGCTAGTCCTAGTCTTTATAACCCTGTACCTTCTTCCAGAAGGCAGAAGCTGAAAGAGATCATTTCTGGGGTGCGCACTATCCTGCACTATCTCTGCAGCTTTCTTATGGCACCTGAAGAAGAAGAAGAGTTTGGATTTGATATCCCGCCTTTCACTCCCTTTAAGGAGTCTCAAAGCGGCTAACATTCTCCTTTCCCTTCCTCCCCCACAACAAACACTCTATGAGGTGAGTGGGGCTGAGAGACTTCAGAGAAGTGTGGCTGGCCGAAGGTCACCCAGCAGCTGCATGTGGAGGAGCGGAGACGCGAACCCGGTTCCCCAGATTACGAGACTACCGCTCTTAACCACTACACCACACTGGCTCTACCTGGAAGCATAGATTTGATCCAAGGTGGGAAGATTGCACCCAATTATTCTCTCCACAGTCTTTACAACCCTGGACAGCATTGTTTTCCCCCTGACCCAAACCACACACACAGACCATAAGTTAATACACTCTCAACAGTACAATTGTAAAATGCCATCGACAGGTCCTTTGAGAGATTATTTTTCCAGAGGATTCTCAGAAAATATAAGAGAGCAGGATGCAGGCCTCAATGGACCATTGGCCTAATCCAGCAGGCTCATGTTGTGCTAAGCAGAACAAAGCACCAATTGAAACAACTTTTCCCTGCTTTAAGAGGCTGCTTCAAAAGAAGCTTTGATGCATAAACATGGTAGAGACAGAGACTGTCCTAATTGCTTAAAGACGGAGGAGGAGACTCACATTAAGGGGTTTTGCAAGACTCCTCATGCTTTCCTCTTAGGTTCCTGATGTTCTTCCTCAAACCAGCACCATCTTGGACCGAATTATTTTTTTTACACATCACTTGGGAAGACTGGCGAACTAATGCCAGTGTACTAGAAGAAGCAAAGATCATCAGTGTCGAAGCAACGATTCCTCAACATCAACTTCGTTGGACTGGTCATCTTGTTCAGATGCCTGATGATCGTCTTCAAAGCAACTACTATATTCCAAACTTAAAAATGGGAAGCGTAATGCTGGTGGTCAACAAAAGAGGTTGAAAGACCGTCTCAAGGCAAATCTAAAAAAATGTAGTATAAACACCAACGGCTGGGAAACACCGGCCTGCGAGCGCTCCAGTTGGAGAACAGCCTTTACCAAAGATGTCATGGGCTTTGAAGACGCTCGAACTCAGGACGAAAGGGAGAAACGCGCTAAGAGGAAGGCACGCTTGGCAAACCCTCACCGTGATCAACTCCTGCCAGGAAACCTGTGTTCCTGCTGTGGAAGGACGTGTGGATCCAGAATTGGCCTCCACAGTCACTTACGGACTCACTTCTAAAACCTTGTTGTTGTTGTTATAATTATTATTACATCGCTCAGAGATTGTGGGGGCATGCACCAATAGGTTACATAACACAAGGAGGGGAAACCATTCCCCTGATGGACAAGGGGATCAATCACCCTCAAGGTCAAATGCTTGGTTTCAAATAAGGGTTAATGGGCAAGGTTTAAATCAACAGAGCATGCTTATCGCTTTGAAAATTAGCCAAACCCAACAGTGCTTGATGTGCGGGGTTCATGGTCGGGTGGTTGCAATAGAATATTGAAATATATGTTTTCCCTTCATTTTGCAGATTCTACAGTTTTGCACGCCCTCCCCCCTTCTCCCCCCCCCCCGGTCTCTTCATGCTGTTTCTACAGGTAATTTGCGTTTGCAGGGAACATCATGGCTGCATTCATGCCCCCTCTGTGTGCAGGCAGCAGTCAGAGCGGTGGTTCCTTGCACCAAACCCTTTCCCTCTCCATCTCTGCCCCAGTTGGCTGCTCTTTCACTCACTAATGATCCAGGATGCTGATTGTACATTAAGGTTATTAGGGCTGTTAGTTTGGTGGTGGAGCATCTCCAGATATGGCTAAAAATGGCCCCCTATCAGAAACCTTGGAGAGCATCTGCTAGTCAAGGAATACTGAGCTAGATGGAGCAATGGCTTGACTCTGCGCAGCCAGGGGTGGATTTACAGCAACAACAACAACATATTATTATTATTTATACCCTGCCCATCTGGCTGGGATTTCCCCCAGCCACTCTGGGTGGCTTTCAACAGAATATTAAAATACAACAATCTATTAAACGTTAAAAAGCTTCCCTAAACAGGGCTGCCTTCAGATGTCTTCTAAAAGTCTGGTAGTTGTTTTTCTCTTTGACATCTGGTGGGAGGGTGTTCCACAGGGCAGGTGCCACTACCGAGAAGGCCCTCTGCAAATGAAGCTTAAGCTCCAGGGACCCCAATCCCAGAAGGGCCCTAGAAGCAACTTCAGTAGACCCAATTTGAGTCACAGAACTCAAATTGATTTTATGTTGTCTATATTTCAACAATCCCAAAGTCTGAGAGTCAGTATTTCAGGTGTTGCAAAGGTGGTTGTAAGTAAACCCCATTGAAGAACAGGACTGTGGTTACCCAGAACTCGATGCTGGTTGCAAAGGGCCCCCCTATAACAGTTCAAGCTTTGGGGCTCCAGAAATGTAGGTCCGCCACTGGGTGCAAGGCAACTTCCTAGGTTCCTAAGGCCCTGGCTGGCAAACCAATTGCTTGCAGCAGGAGTGGTGCTTTTCATATGTGCCTCTGCAGGGATGGTCCACTGACCAGGTGAAGGTGAAGGTGAAGTATGGAGGGAGGTCTCTGGCTGATCCAGTGGTCTGGCACACTGCGGCATTCCTGGCAAAGGATCCACATACCCAGCGTGGGGCAGTGTGGTGGGGGAAAGCAGGGTTGTGCAGAAGTCCCATGGTGAATTTTTCTACCCACTGATCAGCATGTACAGAAGGAAGGGCATGTCCTGGAGAATGACCGTGGGACTTCATTTAGAGGAAGGGCTGCAGTTCAGTGGTGGAGCACCTCCTGTGCATGGTTCCATCCCTGGTTCCATCCCTGGCACCCCCAGGTTGGGCTGAGGATGCCCCC